AATTCAAACGCTGGGTCTCTCTGTAAATGTAACTGTGTGTGTTTTTATCATAAATATTGTAACAAAGTACGTCGTTACTGAGGTGGAAACACAAAAATCTGATTATTTTTTTCCTCGTCTGAAAATGTTTAGTTATTTATTCATGTTGCTGCAGATGGAGGGATGGACTGGTCAAGTCTGAACTATTACCAGTTCAAATTTGGTAACGATGGCACCGAACATGATCATTCTGGACATATTTTAATGAGAGTATGTCCAAATGGAGTCCATCATATAAAGCTGTAACTCCTGAATGCTTCAACATTCTGTCAGTAAAGAATGGTAACTACAGGGATTATATTCTACATCCAGATTTACCGTCAGCGTCATTAAAATACAGTAAATTATGAATAAACAGAAAGGAGGCGCACGGCAATACACAAGTGTTTACATCTGAACGTATTTTCTGGCATATAAGTCAGTTTAGATCTGAATATCTTTAAGTTTGGACTTCATCCAACTAAAAATGGTTAAGATGTCCAACTCAAGTCTGCAAACCATGTAGAAATCCCAAACCCAACCCTAAAACAGAAGTCAAAAAGGTTCATTTAAGGTCTAAGGGGTTTGAACCAGGAATGGCATCACGGATCCAGGCGGTTGAAATGAGTTTCCTCTGCAGGGTAGCTGGACTCTCCCTTAGAGACAGGGTGAGAAGTTCAGTTACCAGGAGAGACTCAGAGTAGAACCGCTGCTCCTCCACGTCGAGAGGAGCCAGTGGAGGTGGTTCGGGTATCTGATGAGGATGCTTCCTGGACGCCTCCCTAGGGAGGTGCTTCAGGCATGTCCAACTGGAAGGAGACCCAGGACACGCTGGAGAGACGGTCGGTCGGTCGGTAGGTAGGTAGGTAGGATGGATGGATGGATGGAAAGTAGGAAGGAAGGATGGATGGAAAGTAGGAAGGAAAGTAGGTAGGAAGGATGGAAAGTAGGAAGGAAAGTAGGTAGGAAGGAAGGAAAGTAGGTAGGAAGGATGGAAAGTAGGTAGGAAGGATGGAAAGTAGGAAGGATGGAAAGTAGGTAGGAAGGATGGAAAGTAGGTAGGAAGGATGGAAAGTAGGAAGGAAAG